TCTCTCTCTCTCTCTCTCTCTCTCTCTCTCTCTCTCTCTCTCTCTCTCTCTCTCCTCTCCCTCTCCCTCCGTCTTCCTCCATTCCTTCAAACTCCTTTAGCCCTTAACCCTTCCGTCACCTCTTCCCCTCCATGGCATGTGACTAACCCCTACCCTCACCTGCTACATTGCCAGGGAACGAATGGGAAGGAACTTGGTCCTCACTTGGTGGAAAGCGAGGGCAAGGGAAGCGCAGCCGGTCCCTTGTGCCACCAAGGAGGAAAGGATACGAGGCTATTGGGAACATTTGTGAAAACGAAAAGGAGTGTTGTTTTTGGACGAGGTCAGTTTGACTTAACCATCTCCCCGACTGCATGACTAAGGTGGCTGCATGGTCTGCTTGAGGGAAGGAAGCGGCTGAAACAAGGGATCATGGAAGGGCAAAGGAAACTTAGGCTTGCGGGAAGGGCCGATGTGTTGACCCCAATGGGGATTGTGCTTGGTCATCTCTATTGTGTGGTCTTGCGCAGGTGAGTAGCTAGGGACGATTTGGACGGGGATGGACCCACGGATGAGGACTAGGGTGGGAGATTGGCAAAAGGGAAGGGATTTGGATCCGGCTTAAGCTACGGATGCGGGATGAGTTGAGGCCGGCCGCTTGGGCCGATGGTTGATGCATGGACTTGGGTTGTGCGGAAATTGTATGGAATGTCTCTCCCTTATGTGCAATGCGACCCCTGAAAAGACTAAGGGCGGTCTCGGATAGGTGATGCGATGCTAGTGGCTCGCGCAAAAATATATATATATAGCGGCTACGGGTCCGAGCGACGCCACCTCACCCCAAGGATCTCGTCGGGGCTGTCCCGAGCCACTAGACTTAGTGAAAGGGTGCTTGGCCCAATGGATGACGCTTGGCCTGCGCACGGAAAGAAGACAAACTCTCAACGAACTCCCTGGACTGCCTGAGTATTGGAAAGAGCAATTGCCTGGTCAGACTCAAATGGATCGAGAAAAACGTCGCGAGTGAGCAAAGAGCTACCATCTTGACGCGAGAGCGGAGCTACATCCCCCAATGTAAAGCCCTCTCGCGAAAGGCCCATCCCCATCCATCTCGTAGCAGTAGGTGGGGGTGCCCCTGGGACGAACGACCCGCGCCCTGAGCGTGAGCGTGGGCGGGTCGAGCCAAGTGGGACCCGCAGTGGGGTCGACCGAGGCTCGAAAGTCCCTCAGGGTACGGCCCCTACACCGGCCTTGAAACTCAGGCAGCGAACCAGGGTTTTGGGAACAACCTATATATAGATTGTTCCCACGCCAGCCTCAGCAGGCTGCTGCGCGCCAGCCCCTGGCACACTTCAGCATTGGCAAGAGCTGCCTCCTCGGCCTGCTCGCCCTAGTCAGGAGGCAGGCCGAGGAAGTACTTAGGGACTTCCCAGGCACTTTACGGGTAGGCAGTCGGTCAGTTGTAGTCTTCAGGATTCGGGAGCAGTACTCTGGAGGGAGCGTTGTAGTAGTAGTGGTAGCGTTAGATTGTAGTCTTCAGCGCTGGGCGCAGTAGGTAGCTGTAGTCCCCAGCGCTGGTCGCCATAGCTAGATAGTGGTAGAGAGAGATTGGGCGGAGGCCAGGAGTACTTACCTGCAGCGCCGTTGCTCCAGCTTCGTCTTCGAGGTACCTGCAGCACAGCGCCAACAACATCACAGGTTAGTACCTGGTTCGTAACAGTGAGAGAGAGAGAGTTCTCTTCTTCCTCTTCTCAGTCCACCATCTTCTTCTACCCCTCTCCACATCTGACTTCCCTGGAGTTGCAGACTACGAGAGAAGAGATACCGAGCTTGGTGACATTGGACCCAGACTCGACTTTTGGGGACTTCAGACATGGTGACGAGGGATTATTTGGGATTGGTGACCAAGACTTGGTGTTAACGACATTCCCATCTCTCTCCTTCCTTTTGTCAGATCCTTTCCTCTTCGTCTGTGTATGTCTGGATCTAGCGCTTTCTTCTTGTGTGCAGCGCCAGGCTCCTTCACACTGAGTGATGGATACAATGCATGTGTAGTTTGAGTTCAAACATTGGTTGGGCTAGATGATAGTGTTCTAGTTCTCTGCGTCGCTACTTGATACTTACGTGAATGAGGTCAGTCCCAGTCAGGTCAGTCTTTGTATCAAAGTCTTCCCTGCGCTCTTCAACATCTTTATGTATGAATGAGAATGTACATTGCTTGACGAGATTCTACTCGTACCGCATTGTCTATTCAGTCCTTTTCATCACATTGCGGATTCTCGTTTTATTGCATACATTGCATATCTGTGCATGTAACATCTTCCCTCTCCTCCTCCTTCGTCTCTCTCCTCTCTCCCTTCGTCCGTGTATGATCTCAGCCCCTGGCCCCTTTGTCTGTAACTCGAGGCCAGGGCATTCACACCCTGATGAATTTTTGAGAGTGTTCGATTGCGGTCCGAGTCAGGTCTGAGTCAGTCCAAGGTATCTCAAGTCTTCCGCTTGCATTGAACTCTGTATAATCTGGTCGGTTCTAGGAATCTGCACCATACTTATGACTGTGTTTCACGAGTATGCAACAGTTTGGTATCGGAGTAGACCAGTATTGGATGACTCACCATTGATTGATTCATTGATTCATTGATTCATTGATTGATTACCTATACCCGCATTCTGTTATCAGTAAATCGCAAGTTGCAAAAAAAAATTCTTTTTCTCGTACTTTCATGGTTAATTAGGTCGTTAAAAGTATAATTTTAGGTTTGCGACATTTCTCCATATCGTGCAATTAGGAAATCGCTAATTACGAGTAAACCTAATTAGCGCTAATCAGCATTATTCCTAACCGAATCCAAACGACCTACCTAACCTATAGGAAGTAAGTGTCAGCCAGGCACCGCGCCAATCAAGGCCGATCGGGCCTGAGCAAGGCCATATTCTAACTGCATTTTCACGGAACTTTCACTTTTTGCAAGCTGCATCTTTTTTTTTGCGTTTGAAAGGTTGAATCTTTCCAGCAAATTGTGCATCTTCCTGCTACCATTCATCTCTACTTAATGAGTGACCTCGTGATGATGCTAAATTCTTCTGACGAAATTTCGTGGAAACTTTGAAAGTTATGTCTAAATGTTTAAACTTGCTTAAACTTATTCATTTCTTTTATGCAAGTTTAAATATTCTTGATTAAATATTTTACGTTTGTGAAATTCATTATTACAAATGTAAATATTTAATCAAGTATTTAATCTTTTCCCGAAATTAAAATTTTATTAATTCCTATTTTTTGATTAAAATTTTATTTAATTTCCCAAAATTCGAAAATTCGTCGGGGGAGGGGGGGAATTTTTTTCTCTTGATTGGTGTCAAGGTCAGGGCGGAACGGGACTGTCTGTGCATTGTTTGCCTGCCCTCCCTTCTTCCCACCCCTACCTTCTCTTCCTCTTCTCGGTCCTACAGACTGCAATCTCCGGACAGCGGAGTGCCACATCAGCACAGTGACACGTCAGCAGAGTGACACGTCAGCAGAGTGACATGTCAGAGTGCCACATCAGCAGAGTGCCACCTCAGCACAGTGCCACGTTAGCAGAGTGCCATGTCAGCAGAGTGCCACGTCAGCAGAAACGTGCAGCCGGACACCAAATGCGCCGCAGCCAACGATTGGGAGAGCGCGGATCCAAGGCAGCCAAGCCCCAACAGGGACCCAAGGCACTGCAGATCCCGCACAAGCGTCGCACAGCCATGGCTGCAGCAGCCGGCCACGCCGACAGCAACATGCCAAGCAGTCCCAAGAGGCCGGTTCCCCCTCCTGTGCCAGTTCAACGGGCAGACGAAGACGCACTTGCGTTTCTTGAGCGTCTCCAACAGTACACGGAGACCAATGCCACCGAACTCTGCACATGGAGAAGGAGAATGCCGCCCGACGGGAAGCCATCCGACTCCAACAAGAAGCGGAACAGGCAGCACGTCAGCAGGCCGCTGCCGACTCTGCAGCAGCTGCACGGCAGCAGCAGCAGCAGCTCGAGGCAAGTCAGACTCAGGCTCGGTTCCAGGCTGCCATGAATCTTCTCCACGAAGAAGCCGCATACGGCAGAGTACTTCGACAGGAGCACTTCCGAGCAACTGAGGAGCAAGAAGAACCAACCGAGGACGAGAGAAATAGGGAAACTACAGCAGTCTTGATTGAGAACCTGCTGTACACGTGCAATTGGCAGCAACGTGAACTATTGGCTATGCGGCAGGTCCTCATCCGCCATGAAGGCAACTTCAAGGCAATGGATCAGAACATCACTGCCCTGCAGGCCGACACCGGTGTGCTGCAGGCCGCCGACAGCCAACAGCAGGCCATCAACGACCGACTGCAGAACTCCGTCGATGCCGGGATGGCACCACTGTCCGCAGTCGAGTCAACGGACGGTGCAGTTTCAGACAGCAGCCCAGCTTTGGCCGCTCAAGCCAAACAGCTCGATGAGCGAATCAATCACATTGTCGCATCCCTTGGCGACATCAGCAAGTTTGCTGGAGCGTCGACAGTCAGCAATCAGCTGCAGTCGCTCAGCGACCGCGTCGACCAACGACCGGCCGCTGCCGCCAAGGAATGGAAGATGCCGAACTTCAAGATCGAGAAGTTCGACGATTACCAGAAGACTGATCAGCTGCAATGGTGGATGGCGTTCAACACGGAGGCCGACGTACATCATACTCCGCCCCTACGGCGGATGGACGCATTGTACCTCCAACTTATAGGCGGGGCGCAAGCATTCATGACGCACATGGCCGTCACGCTCGAATGTACCATCGCCACCCTCCACACGAAGATCACGTGGGAGGAGTTTGAAAAGAAGTGGAAGACCCGGTTCATGATGAACAACGACAAGCCTCGCGCCTTGAACAAGATCTTCCACATCTTCTAAGGCCAGCAACCTTCGCGGGAATGGCTGACGGAGTGGCAAAGACTCGTCGCCACCCCGGAGTTGAACCTGCCATTTGACTCAATCCGAGGCGAGTTCTTCGCCCGATCTTGCGACGCCTTGACAGCTGCTCTCGGCAGCGAATTCGAGTATAAGAACTTTGATGACATGATCGCCAAAGCTAGAGAACTTATCCAAGGTAACCGGCGTGCGACTAACAAGGCCCGCCAACAGCCCGGTTATGTGGAGAAAGGCAAGGGACAACGGACGCCGCAAGTAGCAGCAGTCCAGCAAGGAACAAGTGAGGACCACTGTTACATGCTGCGCCTGCACACGAGGGCCATTTTCCAGGCCCGGCGTCCCTCAGGCTGAAAGCCTGAAATTCAGGCTTAAAGCCTGAAAACCAGGGCCTACAGGCCCTGTGACTGTTCAGCCCGAAAGCCTGAAAACAAGGGCCTACAGTCCCTGTGTCGTTTCAGACTAAAAATGGCAATAGCCTTTTTAGCCTGAAACGAAGGGCCATTTTCGGTCGTTCATCAGAACGACCGGCCCTGAAACTCAGGCACCGAACCAGGGTTTCGGGAACAGGCTATTCTTAGCCTGTTCCCACGCCAGCCTCAGCAGAGGCTGCAGCTCCAGCCTCTGGCACACTTCGGCATTGGCAAGAGCAGCCTCCTCGGCCTGGCTCGCCCTTCAGGCAGTCAGGAGGCAGGCCGAGGTAGTACATAGGGACTTCCCATGCACTTCACGGGCAGGCAGGNGCCTCCTCGGCCTGGCTCGCCCTTCAGGCAGTCAGGAGGCAGGCCGAGGTAGTACATAGGGACTTCCCATGCACTTCACGGGCAGGCAGGAGGCAGTTGTAGTCTTCAGGATTCGGCAGCAGCACTCTGGAGGGAGCGCTACAGGAGTAGTAGTAGCGTTAGCTTTAGTCTCCAGTGCTGGGCGCAGTAGGTAGCTGTAGTCTCCAGCCCTGGGCGCCATAGCTAGGATAGCACTAGAGAGAGAGAGATTGGGAGGAGGCCTTGGGTACCTACCTGCAGCGTCGTTGCACCAGCTTTGTCTTCGAGGTACCTGCAGCACAGCGCCAACTTCACAGGTTAGTACCTGGCTCGTAACAGAGAGAGAGAGAGTTCTTCTTCTTCCTCTTCTTAGTCCACCATCTCCCTCTCACCCTCTCATCATATGACTTCACTGCATCTGCAGACTACGAGAGAAGAGAGAAAGAGCTTGGTGACATTGGACCCAGACTCGACTTTTGGCTTCAGACATTGCAACGAGGGATTATTTGGGACTCGTGACAAGGACTTGGTGTTGACGACATCCCCATCTCTCCCTCTCCTCTTCGTCTGATCCCCTCCTCTTCGTCTGTGTATATTTGGACCTGGCGCTCTCTTCCTGTGTACAGCGCCAAGCTCCTTCACACTTTGTGATGGACACGATGTATGTTTGGTCTGCGTTCAAACATTGATTGGGCTAGCATTCTAGCATTCTGCTTCGCTATCTCTTACTACGTGAATGAGGTCAGTCCCGGTCAGGTCAAGCTTTGTATCTAAGTCTTCCCCGCGCTATTCAGCACCATTTTGTATGTATTGGAATGCACATTGCTTGTTGAGATTCTACTTGCACTGCATTGTCCATTCAGTCCTTTTCATCACATTGCGGATCCTCGGTTAACGCCCAACTGGGCATGTAACAGTTGGTATCGGTGCACCGCACGTGAATCAGGACAACCTGATCTGACACGTGTGTGGGGACTAGGTAGCTGATTAGTCTTCAGTGATTGATTAGAGCACACTAGTTAGCCCCCAAAATCACGATTTTGACCTTACTGCTGAAAATCAATTTTTTTTTTCTTTTCTTGGATTTTGTTTTCTCGTTATTCTGTTGTAGCGCAACATCTGAAATTTCCATTTTTTGTTTTCCTTCTGAAATTTCGAAATTTCGTTGTTAAAAAATCCGGAATATTCTTCTTTTCGAAAATTTTGATTTCCTGTTGCATTTTTCGTTACTTAGAAATTCGGAATATCTTATTTTTCGAAATTCGTTTTTCTGAAAATGGTACGGGAAATCCCTCCTGCAGGTATTATTTTCCAAACTGCGAATACTCTCATCTGAGTAAATCCAAATATTTGTCATTTCTTTTCGGAATTTTTTTCGCAGTTCTAGGATCTTGTCAGTCAGTTCTATAAAATCATTTGCAGTCTAAAGTCTAAATTTTTCTTTCATTGATCATTTCGAACTTTAAGGGAGGTTGGGAGACCTACTGAACTTGCAGAAGTCGGGATTTTTTTATTTTTCTTGAATTTTTTTTGCAAAGTTCAAACTTTTCTTTTTTGATTAGTGGCTCCTTATCTGGGGGATTCTTCCCACCCACCCTCCCCACCTATGTTGTTGCCACCTCTCGCCTTACCTTCTCTATCCATCTCCGGGTACCCCCTGCGACGACATTGGTGAGTTTCCACGTCAGCAGGCCACGTCAGCAGGCCACGTCAGCAGACTACGTCAGCAAGACACGCCAGTAGACTACGTCAGCAAGTCATGCCAGCAAACCACGTCAGCAGACCACGTCAGCAGGCCACGTCAGCAGGACACGTCAGAGGCCACGTCAGCCGACAGCGCAGGAAATACCACGTCAGCAAGCCCCCGGCCTGGTATATGCTGTTGCGGTCACATACAACCGTCATGGACCAGGGGTCCGGAGAAGCAGACGAGGCCTATCAGGCCCGGATGCTGGCTTGGAGTACCAAAACAAAGAAACGGGCACACGACGCAGCTGCAGCAGCGAAGAAGAAGGCAGAGGACGCCGAGCAGGCACGTCTGCACTTGAACAACAGCGCCACCATGACGAGGCAGCACCAAGGGCTGCCGATGAAGAAAGAAACCAACGTCGTGAGAAGATATTTAGCGAAGAGCAGACTTTGCTCACAATGGCAGCGGCATGGCGGACCGAGGCCGAGAACGGCAAGTTGGAGGATTGCGAAAACAAGATCGCTCTCCTCCTCTCGCATCTCACAGACTTCCTGGCAACCTGCATCACACAGCAGGAGGATATCCACAGCCTTGACGACTCGCTAGCTCAAGTACAAGGCCGCCTTCAGCAGCTGGAGCAGCGACCTGTCGCCGCCCCCGATGCAAGCTCTTCCAATACCTCCGATCGCCTCGAGGTATTGGAGACGGACGTCGGCTCCCTCAAGGATGGCGTGCAATTACAGCAGACCGCGACACAACAATTGGAACAGCAGATCTGCACGACCGCCAACACCTCAAGTTCGGAACCACGCGAGACAACTCCAAAGTTTGACGGGCAGGAGATCTTCTGCGACTCGATGAAGACAAATCCGGTTCCATGGTTCCCCAAGTTCGAGCTCACGCTACAACTACAGAACGTCAAAGAACACAAGCACCACGCATACCTACACTCTCTACAGCTACACAACGTCAAAGAACACAAGCACCACGCATACTTACACTCTTGCTCAGGGGGCGCGTGCCAGGCTTGGTTGGACAATCTCTTGTCCAAGTACGGAGTGGTGGCTGCTGACTTGCACACCAAGATCAGTTGAGATGATCTGAAGGCGGCGTGGCACAAGCGGTTCCAAGTCGAGCCGCCCGAGATCAAGGCTATGGACAAGCCCATGGTCTTCGAGCAAGGCACGCTGCCAAGTACGGACTGGATCGCCAAGTACCAACGCTTGACGTCAGTCCCAGACATCCAGATGGGCTTCAAAGCCATCCACCACTACTTCATCTCAAGGTCATGTCCGGCATTAAGCAATGCCCTGACGCCCGTCGAGGACACCTTGACGACTACGGCGGAACTTTTTGACAAGGCCGCGCAGATCATCATTACGAACAAGGAGGCTAAGAACCTGTGTTCGTCTGCGGCACGCCCGAGCAGGGACCAGCATCGACCAAGAGTGGCCATGGTCGCGGCAGCAACGCCGTTTGACCAAACCAGCGAGGTTGTGTCTGCCAGTGAAGGGGACAGACTGGCCGCCGCCCGGGAAGGTGGCCGCCCCGGCAGAGGCCGAGGACGCTGCAAGACGAAGACACACACCGCATCTAGCCCCGGGCCCGGCGCAGCAGCTCCAGCCCCTTGGTCCCAATACGGCATCTCCGAGCAAGCGTTCAAGGCGCACACGAGATTCCACTATTGCTTATGGTGCAACAGTGATCTTCATCAGACACTAGTCTGCCCATTGAAAGGCAAGGGCAAACAGAGAAACTGAGCACCGCCGAAAGTGACTCGACAACACTCTCGACGCCTCCGGAACCGGTTTCTTCACGAGTAACCGGCCTTCATTATGAGGCGCACGCAGAATAGTCCTCCTCTTCTACTTTCTTTTGAGGACTATGCTGCCCGGCTCGTTCCTATGCTGGGTACTCAAGCTCAAGGACAAGACGTGTGTGTGGTTTCTTCTCCGTCCGGCAGCGGCGACATATCGTCTTCAAGTGGTTCTTCACGGGATTCGGCGCGTGAGTTCAACATAGAGGTATTGGACCCGCTTACGTCCGAGGACTTTGCATGGCTTCCTCTCCCGACCACAGGCTGCCTGCCGAGACCGCAATGCGCAACACTATGCGCTCATCTCCACACTTACTTATCCTTCTATGCACCACCAACTTCGGCGACGGATGACGAAGTCGCGGTAGGGGACATCCTTGCGTATACTACCAAGGTTGCCCGCGAGTTTCGCACGCAGCGGTACGATGACAACAACGCACCGCTCATGTATGTCCGCATCCAGGTTGGGCAAGCGTCCTGCACCGCTTTGCTGGATAGCGGCGCGTCTCGCAATTTCATGAGTCAATCCTTTATGCAAAGGGTTGGCCTTGGCGCACAAGTTCGGAGGAAGGCAAACCCGACGGCGATCAAGTTGGCGGATGGGAAAACGCAGCAACTTCTCGACCGATACATCGAGGCTGTACCGATTTATTTCGCACCTTATGCATGCGAACCGGTGACATTCGATATTCTTGACACGGACTTCGTCATCATTCTGGGAATGCCTTGGCTTGCAAGTGCGGATCACACGGTCAACTTCCATCGGCGGACTCTTAGCGTCCGTGATGCCTTCGGCGCGGAAGTGGCGTGTACTATTCCTCTACCGCACCCTTCAATTTGGTGCCAAGTGGTGACGGCCAAATCATTCAGGGCGACTTGCGGTTACGAGCAGCTCGAGGAGATCGGCGTATGTTTCCTACGGACCGTCGCGGTAACCGACGCTTCACCCACGGACTTGTCTCCGGATCCCCAGGTGGTGCGGTGGCTGGACGAGTTCGCCGACATCTTCGAGACACCTCCCGGTGTGGTGCCGGACCGGCCGATCTCTCACGAGATCATTCTTGAGGTCGGTGCCGTGCCGCCGAAAGGTTGCATCTATCGGATGAGTGAGGAGGAGCTTGAGGTCCTCCGCGCACAACTCGACGACTTGTTGGCCAAGGGCTGGATCCGCCCTAGCAGCTCCCCATATGGAGCACCAGTTTTCTTCGTTCGGAAGAAGAACAAGGATCTACGACTGTGTATCGACTACCGCAAGCTCAACGCGCAAACCGTCAAGAATGTGAGGCCTCTTCCTCGCATCGACGATCTTCTTGAGCGACTGGGCGGCGCGAAGTATTTTTCTAAGTTGGATTTGAAATCGGGATATCATCAAATCTCGATCCGGCCGAATGATCGCTACAAATCCGGGTTCAAGACGTGGTACGGGCATTTTGAGTGGGTGGTCATGCCTTTTGGCCTCACCAACGCCCCGACGACCTTTCAAGCGACAATGACCAATGAGTCCCGTGCAATGTTGGACCGGTTCGTGCTGGTCTACTTAGACGATATTCTAGTCTATAGCCGGACTTTGGAGGATCATCTGGGGCATCTTCGACGAGTGTTGGAAACGCTCCGCCGCGCCAAGTACAAGGCCAACCACGACAAGTGCGAATTTGTCCGGCAAGAGTTGGAATACTTGGGCCATTTTGTCACACCGCGGGGCATCAGTCCGCTATCGGACAAGACTCAAGCCATCCAAGAGTGGTCGGAGCCTCGGAACGTCACGGATGTCCGCTCGTTCCTTGGTCTCGCCGGCTACTACCAGCGTTTCATCAAAGGCTACTCAAAGATCGCGGCCCACTTGACCAAGCTTCAATGCGAGGATCGGCCGTTTGACTTCGGAGAGGAGGCGCGGGAATCATTTTTGACTCTCAAAGCCGCGCTATTATCTGCGGAGGTCTTGCGGATATACGACCCGCTTTTGCTACGCACGTCACTACGGATGCGTCAGGCTATGGCATTGGTGCAGTCCTTGAGCAACATGATGGTGTGGACTCTCAACCGGTCGAGTACTTCAGCAAGAAAGTGCCCGTCGTGCATTCCATTGACGATGCACACAAGAAGGAACTCCTTGCCTTCGTCCACAGGCTCAAGCGGTGGCGGCATTTCCTCCTTGGTCGAAGCCAATTCCGATGGGTAACGGACTACAATCCGTTGGTCTTCTATAAGACCCACGACACCATCAACAGCACCATCGCTCGATGGATGACTTTCATCGACCAGTTCGACTTCTTTCCAGATCACATTCCTGGGAAGTCGAACCGTTTTGCGGATGCTCTTTCACGGCGTCCGGATCATTGTACCGCGGTCTACTCAACCTTCGAGATCGACGATGACCTGCGGAACAACTTCATCCGCGGCTACCAAGCCGACCCCGAGTTTCGCGACAAGTACGCGAATTGCTCCTCTCCTAATCCGGCGCCTTCTCACTACCGGATCCAAGAGGGGTACTTGCTTGTCCACACGCGGGGGAAGGATCTTCTTTGCGTACCGAGTGATCCTCACTTGCGTACACGGCTTCTTGGCGAGTTCCACGATGCTCCCGCCACCGGACACTTTGGAGTCAATCGCACGATTGGCTGACTTTGCGAGCGATTTTGGTGGCCCGGCCTTCTCGGCGACGTCACGCAATATTGCGAGTCATGCGAGGTTTGCAGACGCTGCAGATCCCGCAACCATCGTCTGTACGGCGAGTTACGACCATTGCCGGTCCCGTTGAGGCGAAGGGAAGCGATTGCCATGGACATTACCGGCCCGTTCCCCAAGCACAAGACCGGAGTGGATGGGATTCTCACGGTGGTCGACCGACTTACCAAGTTCGCCATGTTTTTGCCTTGTCGCTATCATGCCAAGGCACCGGAGTTGGCCGAGGTTCTGTACCCTGGTTGGATTCGCACCAAGGGTTACCCCAAGGAAATCGTCTGCGACCGCGACACTCGGTTCATGTCCGATTTTTGGTTGGCGCTCATCAAGCGATGGGGCTCATCTCTCAAGCCCAGTTCAGCTCGCCACCCTCAGACCAATGGCCAGACGGAGAGGGCGCATCAGACCGCACAGGTTCTCCTTCGCACTCTCATCCGCTCCGACCAGAAGGACTAGGTTGAGCGGCTGCCGGATGTCGAGTTGGCCTACAACTCTTCCATCCACCCGACTATCGGGATATCGCCTTTCGAGTTTGAGCACGGCTCGCCGGTCACTTCACCGTTGGACACTATTACTCCATGAACGGCCGAGAGCGACGACCATCTTCTTTGCTTGCGTCGGATGCAAGAGCTTCTTGTCAAGGCACGCGACCAGATGGCCAAGACGCCGCAGCGCATGAGCCAGCAGGCCAATCGCCAGCGTCCAGGGCCAATCGCCAGCGCAAGATGCAAGGCAAGCCGGTTTCTTCGGCTCCATGCCGCGCCCGCGTCCAGGTTCCACCTTCATATCGTCGGCTTCGCCCTCGCCCCGGCTTGACTTCATAAGGAGGGAGGTGTGTTACATGCTGCGCCTGCACACGAGGGCCATTTTCCAGGCCCTGCGTCCCTCAGGCTGAAAGCCTGAAATTCAGGCTTAAAGCCTGAAAACCAGGGCCTACAGGCCCCGTGACTGTTCAGCCCGAAAGCCTGAAAACAGGGGCCTACAGTCCCTGTGTCGTTTGAGACTAAAAATGGCAATAGCCTTTTTAGCCTGAAACGAAGGGCCATTTTCGGTCGTTCATCAGAACGACCGGCCCTGAAACTCAGGCACCGAAAGGGTTTCGGGAACAGGCTATTCTTAGCCTGTTCCCACACTAACCTCAGCAGAGGCTGCAGCTCCAGCCCCTGGCACACTTCGGCATTGGCAGGAGCAGCCTCCTCGGCCTGGCTCGCCCTTCAGGCAGTCAGGAGGCAGGCCGAGGTAGTACATAGGGACTTCCCATGCACTTCACGGGCAGGCAGGAGGCATTTGTAGTCTTCAGGATTCGGCAGCAGCACTCTGGAGGGAGTGTTGCAGGAGTAGTAGTAGCGTTAGCCTTAGTCTTTAGCGCTGGGCGCAGTAGGTAGCTGTAGTCTCCAGCGCTGGGCGCCATAGCTAGGATAGCACTAGAGAGAGAGAGATTGGGCGGAGGCCTTGGGTACCTACCTGCAGCGCCGTTGCTCCAGCTTCGTCTTCGAGATACCTGCAGCAGAGCGCCAACTTCACAGGTTAGTACCTGGCTCGTAACAGAGAGAGAGAGTTCTTCTTCTTCCTCTTCTCAGTCCACCATCTCCCTCTCACCAGTTGAGGCATGAGGAGGTCGAGGGGCTTGGGGAACAAAGGGAAGAGGGCCCATTTGTGTCTAACGATGAGGGCGGAAGAGGACGGGGAAACAAGAGATAGAATGACCATTTTGACCACGCCCAAGGGGAGGGGAGGCGGGGGAGTCATCATTGCATATTCTTGAGTAGCTCAGCTACAGCTAGTGAAACCGACTGATAATCAAAGAAAGGAAAAAAGAAAAAGAATGATTTGAGTCATTTGACAAAGACTAATACCACCTTACCTCTCGCAGCCGCTCTATTGCAGTGAAACGTAATCGGTCAGTTGCAATTGACTTCTCAAGCACCAAAATATTGCCATTTATTTCTTCCAGTCGCTTCTCTGTTCTCTTTAGCTCCACTGCCCTTTTCACCTCTTCATTCCACAGCCCTGCGCCTGAGGCACTGGCAATTACTCCTGCAAGCACTGCTGGGGAATTGCAGTCTGCCAAAGCAGTAATCTGAGATTGCTGCAATACCGAGACAGAACTCTCTGCCAGTAACCTCTTGGAACGTAAGAACTCCTGTTCCAGATCAACATCCCATCACGCATATATGCACAAGAGAGAGAGAGAGAGAGAGAGAGAGAGAGAGAGAGAGAGAGAGAGAGAGAGAGAGCAAAGAAACACCTTGTTAAGAACTGTTTCAGATAAATCGCACAGAAAGTGAATATGGACAGTCGATAGAGATTACAAAGTTAAATTTCCATGTCATAACTGGAGCACCAATCTCCTAAGCAACAATGCTTCAGTCACTCAGTATGTCCACTTCTCCCCCTTTGCATACTCTCTTCCACTCCTCTCCTCCTCCCTCCTCTCCCTCCAGTTCCCTCTCCGCTTCATTTCTGTTCCTGTCTTCCTCCCTCCTCTCCCTCCAACCCCATCTCCTCCTCCCTCCTCTCCCTCCCAGTCCCTCCTCTCCCCCCCCCCC